TATCTTTCCATAAATGTGAACAAAGTAAAGAGATAAAAGATATATAATTATATTTAAAATATAGTATTTTCTTATTCTTTAGATAACTTTCAGAGTCATTTCATAAAATTTAATCCTTCTTAATCTTTCCATAATATTTTTATCAACAGTCACTTCGACTTTTTTATTTTTACAGCATAATATCGTATTATACACACAAGCGTCCATTTTGCTTTACACGTGTAGCGGACGTAAAAGCTGCTTTATCTTCGCTGCAGCGACCTCTTGCAGCAAACGTTTAGAAACGGTTCGCTACATTGCAACGCTGCATTTAGAAACGGGTTTCAGAGGGTTCGCTGTAAAGCGCTTCTCGAGCGCTGCATAAAGAAACGCGGCCATCCGGACGGGTCGAAAAATCTCTTGGAATTTTTCGGGGGGTGATCCGACCGTATATGTCGGTCCCCGGCCTCCATTGTGGACCTCGCCGAACCCATAATGGGCTTGTTGAAATAGGCCCTCTTAGTGCCCACAGGGTGGAAAGAGTTAAAAAAACAAAAAAAACAGAGAAGAATAATTTCTTGTTATTGAAAATTTTTCAAGAAGTGGTCCGTTTTGATTTGTCCGGTCCCGTCCCACACCATCTGGTCTCCTTGATTGTGGGCCTGGAAAACCCAAATTGAGCTTGGAATCCAAAAAAAAAAGAACCTCTTAATGTCTACACGGCGGATTTTAAAAAATAATCAGTACTATAAAAATTATTTTTAATGACATCTCGTAACAGATGGCACCATATACAATTTTAACTTTGAGTAGTGTTTTAGTGGATTTCTAAGCTTAAATTAAAAAGTTTTCATAATTCAAAAAAATTACCTCTTTCAAGTTTTTGTTATTATTTAAATTCTATATCATAGAAAAATTCCGATAATTTTCAATTATCGGATTTTTTTCTGATTCGTTTAACCTGCTGTTCAGTCGAGTGCCGGGAAAGTCGAGCAAAAGCCATTGCCAGTTTTTTGTTCAACGCTTAAAGACCAGATAAAATCGTTGAAAAATTGAAAATATGCGAGAAAAATATTTCGAATTAGCACTTTTAAACTAATTTCATTCAAAAAATAAACTTTTAAAAATTTGATAGTAGGAGCGCAACTTTTCGAAACTGAGCCTTATTAAAACCTAGTACAGTAGTAGTCATCGCTCGCTGTTCTTTCGATTGAAAACGGTTTAATAGGATATGGCAACACAACACCTGGACAATTTGCCAAGGAAATTTCCAGGGAAGATTTTTGATGAGAAACTAATCCATATTTAAGAGGACCTCCACGTGAAGGAAATCCTGGAACACACGTGGCCATCCTGCGATGAAGCGCGAATCCACGATCATCAGCGAATACTAGAGGAAATTGCATTACTATTGATATTAGGGAATTATTTCAATTAAGGATTTGATTTTAATTAGAGATGGACAGGGGCGCACGCACATTGGGGCACTTGAGACACGTGCTCCCTTTGTCGTCGATGTACCCTTTTCTTAATCCCAAAGGGAGCTCTAAGGTTTTATTTTATTTTTAAATTAGTTACTCACTTTTATCACAGAAAACTTTTTACTGATGACAAAACTAAAATATTTATTATTAAAAACCAAAAATTTGTTCTATCGGGTCATGTTTATTCGGTCAAGTATCGAGATACCACTGCACTTGATTAACGCGATTTTGATATACGCAGTAGCAGCGAGGGATTAATTAGCTGCGTTAATCAAGGGACATTTGTATAAGACAAATGTATAAGACATTTGTGTATACATATATAAAGGTATCTTCTTGCATAATGTACAGTACGTACGATGCCCTTTTTTATAGCTTGTGCCTCCACTTTTATAGTTGCTGATGTTGTATGATCCATACTTATAATTACACTTCTAGGTAAGGAAAATGCTTTTTAGTTTCTTTCTCTTTTTAATAATTCATGAATTTTCTATATTACATCTTGATAATTAATTACTTAATTCAATTATTAATGCTATGAGGCTATATTTTATTTTTTTTTAGCTGAGATTTAGCAATACCTTTTAAAATAAAATATTAATTTAACGTTTTATTACTTTGTAGGCGTTCAAATAAACTTTTTCTATTTGTTATCTAATAAAATTTCTAGAAAGCGATTTTTCCTATCTAAAAACAAATGTTATTATTCTCTAAGTTATCAATTTAATAAATATAAATATGTAAATTATTTAATATGCTATTTTTAATATATTTTCAAAGAAAAATTAAAATATTTAAAAAGTTATAAAGGAGAAAATTATTATTTATATTATAATTCTGCATATTACAATATAACTTTTGTCTACAGCTTTATTATTTATTTATTTTTGTAGAAATAAAAAATAAAAAATTTTTGTTAACAGCTTAAAATAAAGTTTGCAAATGTCGCAAAATCATAAATCCGTTTTAAATAGTTGCATAAAATTTCTATATAATAAAAGTGTTTTGTGAAGATGGAACAATAAAGATTTGCATCTTTATTGCTCCATATAAAATTTATAAAATATTCGAAATTTGTTACAAAATTATTTAAACAGGATATTATTCTATTAAATTAAAAGAAAAGAAATGTTTTTATCAGTAATAAAATTTATCATATGTACTGAAGGATTAAGAAAATTAACATCGACCAGGTTTTAGATAGTAATTGTACGTAAATTTAAGATTAATTCTGACGTCAAAATTGTTAAACTTAATTGTAATATAATATACATTTAACCTATTATAAATAGATCTGAATGCGCATCAGATAATTATAATCACTGAGAAAAATGAAAGCTGTTGCTAAAACGCTGTTTAACATATTGGGGTATTTTCTTATTTTACAGCTTGTTTACTGTTTTAAAAACAAACGTAAGTAGCCATTATAATACATATATACTGTACAGTATATATATTTTGTATTTATAGCAGTCAAATCTGTGAGCAGGATTTTTAAGTGTGGGGTTTTAAAAAACATTATTTTCTCATAAGTAAATAGGTATATTGAGTAGTAACCCAATACGAAACTGAACGGGTAAAAAATAAATATAATAATATGTACCAGTATAATAAGTCCTATTAATAAACAAGGTCCAAGTAAACAATATATACACAGAAATGTAAAACAATGAGGACCTAGATGTAAAAAAAAATGAATATATATATATGTGTTTGTTTGCTATAAAAATGTTAATAAATTTTTTAAATTTCAGAATGGATACAATGGGAAAATAACGAAATAGTAAGTTTAATATACAATTTAAGTAAAATCTTAATTGTGTTAATGGCTGTTTTTGTAGTTTAAAATGAATAAAATATTAATTCTTTCATTGACTTGCAAAAATTTACTGTAGTACACTACATGAAATTATTTGTGATTTAAATATTTTCAAGATGTAAAGCATTCTCGATAATCTAAATAATAAAAAAAAGTTGAAGATCATTGTGATCACATGAAAAATACAATAGACCCTCCTATAACACTGTATATAATTCCGTGTTATATGAATTCCATGTTGTATGAGTCACTCAGATTTTACAAATACGTGAGCCGTTCACAGCCCGGCACACGTATTTGTAAAATCTAAGTGATTCGTACAACATGGAATTCATGTAACACGGAATTATATACAGTGTTATAGGGGGGGTCTACTGGTACTGGAATTATTCGAAGTTTTATCACAATTTATATAGCACTAAAATTAATTGATTACAACAAAAGCTCATCCATTAAAATTACAATCGAAGCTCCATATTCGTGGTAGATATATCTGGAAAACTGCCTCAAATTTTCAAAAATAAATTATTATAAATAATAATAAAAGGTTTTAATAGAGAAATTCTGTACTACATTTTTTATATTTTTTTCTTAACGTATCCAGGGCCGTTCATAGCTTATACTATATGGGGTCCAGGTAATACTATTATTACCCGGGCCCCTTTTATCAATTTTTTTGAAAAAAAATTATGTAGTATGTTTCTTTATTAATAAAAAGCAGTCTTGAGCAATTTTATCTTTTGTTAGTAAAAATAACTTCAATTTATAGGATAGAAACCACTGCAGGTCGAAAAAAATCTCCAGTTTTTCTCTCGACGGGTCTTGAATGTATCTTATGCTTATTTTCGACAAAAGTAGAAATAGGTCCATAACTACTGAATTTCCTTATTGAAAATGTTCTAGTATTTTGAATTTTGTCTTCGAGAATTTTACTTTTGCTGGCATTTTTGATATTTTGTTACTAGTCTTTTTGTTCTAGACAATATTGTGGATTTCTAAGAATAAAAGGTAACTACAGAACATGTTTCTTTTTCAAGTAGAATATATTCTGACATTTATAAAATTTACTCTAATATAAAACACAGCGTATAGTATATTTTACATAAGTACACATGTTAAGATAACGCGAGTAAGTATGAAATAATATACATTAGTGTATCTAACTTAGTGCCGTAACTAGCCATTCCTGTGCCCTGTGCAAGAATCTGCATTTAGGCCCCTTAATTAATTAGGTTTGGGAAAATAATAAAACAAATACTTGCATTTTGGGCCCCCTTCCAAGTGGGCCCTGTGCGGGAGATACGGCACTGACCTAACTGTAGACAATATGGACGAATATGGAGCTTTATCTGTACTTATATAGATATATACAGTTTGTTAATGGCATTTTCCATAATCTCATTAAAAAATAACAAAGATAAAATTTTTTACACAAAATAACAACAAAGTAATAGTCTTAAAACAAACCAAACGTCCAAAATAAAACATAATATAATAGTATTAATTTATTTAATTGAATTTAAATATGCAAAACATATGATCTCATTTTAGAATAGAGCTGCCGTCTATGACATTGGAAAATTATGGCCAAATGGTACCATTTATTACAAAATACACGACGATATAAAAGGTATGCAGGATAGATTACATTAAATTAAAAAAGAAAAAAATGATTTTTAATCGGTAAAGTAGGGTTTTGTTTTATGTAAATTCGCTTATACATTTCTTTCTATAGATGACATAGGTCCATTAGTGAAGAATGCGATGACAATGATCGAAAATCATACTTGCTTACAGTTTATAGAATGGCGGGGACAATACCAAGATTATATATTCATCAAGGACGATCTAAAGTAAGATGTTTCACTTATTAAATCTAATAATTTCGAATATATTTTGAAAATTATCTATTTATTAGCATGCAAATAGATGAATAAATATATATATAGCCTAATTCGTAGATGGTCCGACCGGATCAGGGCCGTCAAGCTCTTGTATGAGGCCCGGGAATAGAGAGGCCCTTTTGCCCCTTATCAAGCCTCCTTAAATTATTAAAGATTCTATTATTTATTAATAAAAATAACATTAATTTATAGAAGTAATAACCACTATAGCCAGCTTTGAATAAGAAGAAGAGCGAGGGATGGATTCTGAAATCTAATCTGGAAATACATATATAATTAATTAGTGTTGTTAATTAATTAAAGTACGTTTTCAGAAGTGTATTTTCATTTTTTTATATTAGATGCTCGTCTAAATTAGGAAGACAAGGTGGCAAACAGAATTTATATTTATCAATATTTTGTCGAACTGTTGGGCAAATCTTACACGAACTTTTACATAGCTTGGGATTTTGGCACGAAATGAGTCGTAATGACAGAGATGATTATATAGAAATCCATTGGAATAACATAATGCCCGGTGAATAATCAAGTTTATTAAATACAAACTAATCGTATAAATAAATAAAGAACTATATTTTAATATTCAAAATTATTTTTCAGGGCAGGATTTTAACTTTCATAAACTTCATCCGTGGGAACACAATCTACTTGATACACCCTTTGATTACGATTCAATCATGATGTATGGTTCGAAAGCATATGCTTTAGATAGTGAGAAACCTACTATAACGCCTAAAACTCCAGGAATAATCCTGAAGGATGTCGAAGATAAGACACGTTTAAGTAACATTGATATTATCAGGATAAACAGATTATACCAGTGTTTCGGTAAGCTTTAAGTAGTAAAGTTAACACAAAATAATGTTCACGAAGGCAATTGTTTAAGGAATTATTTCTTATAGTTGGGATCATGTTTCTATATTCAATTAGCCACTTCTATTTAGTGAAGTAACTAAGTTAATATATTATACAGGGTGTCATGCTTAGAGATTTAATTCCTATCCTGCATAGATATAATTTTTGAATTGCTTAGTGATAATCTTTCGAATAAAAGATTCAAATATTTAAGTTTTAAATGAATATTTTAGGTATTATTGTTATTATTTTTTTCGTAGATGAAAAACGTCCCGCAGTACCGGATCCTCCAGAATACTTCTGTAATTTCGAAATTGGGGATTGCGATATTATCACGCAATCAGGAAATAAAGTTGCTAGTTGGGAGAAAGTTAATGAACAAAGAGGAACTCTTCCAGGTGATCATACTAGTGGATTTGGTAAGAATAGTTGTTACGTTAACATATGCTTATGCAAACATAATGTAAGTAACAAATGATTATTTTAGGATATTATTGGGTTGTCAATGCGGAAAATGCAGCGGGAAAGCAAGCTATAATGTATATGCCCCAATTTCCTGATAATGGTCGTTCTACAGGATGTTTATCCTTTTTCTATCATTATCGAGGACCAGGAACAGAAGCCTTTATTGGTATTCTTCAAACTGTTAGAGGCAGCTCCATAATTTTCTCTGGAAGGCCGGCTGCTGCCGGTACTTGGAAAAAAGCTTGGATAAATGTTGATTTGAATATAAGCAATTTTAGGGTAAGTTTTAAAAATCCTATCTACTAACGTATTTATATTACATAAATTCATCCGTATAAATTATATAAATTTGAATCATTTTAAATTTGTCTCAATCAATCAATCAAATGATTAAATGATACATTTACGTATAAATATGTACACTACTGCACTGGCGGGCTTCTAGTGATGCGAAGCAGACTTTTCACATATTAATTAATTCTGCAATATCTTATTCTTTTTCCCAAGTTTTCTTCCAAATGTTTATCAACATTTCGAAATAATTATTTAAAAAAAAATGAAATGACGGCAAAATGTAAGGAATTACATTCATGTATAAAATTATAGAGACGATTTTAATTATTGATTTTTAATTTCAGATAGCACTTGTAGCTGTATCAACACCAACAAATCAATCTGGAGGGCTATTTGCTGTTGACGATGTCATGTTTCAATGGATTCCCTGCAAATAATTACCGGTTTAGTTCCAGTAACCCGTACTGTGATTACTTTTAAAATGTGTATTTGATAAATAACAATTAAAATTTTCCGTTTTAGAAATTAAATCATATTTTAATTTATTAACAAAATATTTTAAATTAAACAAAAAATACAAAACAGAAAATAAATTGATTTTTTAAGTCAATACTCATTGCAGTTTACATGTTTAACTGTAGAAAATTTATTTATTTATACAAGTAATTCTGAAGCTGTAAGCTAAAATAAATATTTGTAATTAATATTTAAAATGTAATTGTAATGTTTGTAATTAATACGCATTTGTCTGTTAAGTGGGAGTAGGTCTATAAGAGACAAAGCAACAAAAGAATGGAGTTAATGAATTAATATCATTGTTTGTATATTGTATCAGGTTCTGAGATAGTACGATGCCTTCTTTTTAATCTTTTTAAATATGAGATGAATGAAAGTCGACTTATGAACTAATTGTTACTATTTTGAACTATGGTTACTAATTTTTATATGCGTTACCATCTATCGACGCTAAAATCACATGACTAAGTAATGATGCACAAAAGTTATGTGATTTATTTTTGTTTATGTTGCTATTTAACGGACTATTCAGCGACGAAAAGAAATAAAAGTAATGAAGCTCGAAAGATGCAGCCAGTGCCGGATTGCCCACTAGACCCCTGAGACACATGCTTATGGACCCCGGTTTCGAAACCCCGGAAACTGGAAAAAAATTAAGTAATTTTACCGTTGCAAGTAAACTTATAAATAATTGGATAGTTACAGTTAGACATTACACAATTTTACGACCTCATAAACTAATAGAGTATCTCCTGTTCCTAGAGACAGAGGGCTGCCATCGTAACCACTCGGCTATCCGGCCGTCATCCACACTCAACTGTCAGAACTAAAAACGAATAAGTACAGTACAGTACATTTACATTTAAGAATGAATTTATTTTATTTCGAATGTATTAAGTTTGTGGAAAAGAACAGAAGCTAATGTAGCGTCGTCAACTACTCGCATCAACTCGTAATCCATCGTTCAGATCGTTCAGAAGGCCCACCAGTGGCCAAGCGGTCTTCGTACCCTGAACACTGGAGTTCGGTCGTGGGTTCGCGCCTCGCCCGGACGGGCTAGCCACGTGAAGTTTTCCGGGTTTTCTCCTCGTCTGTAATGCCTAAATAAGGGCCAGTTACCCTTAAAAAAGATCTCCCGGAAGGCATCCCCCAGGCAGATCGCCCAAGTGTTGCGTTGCCCGTTGCCATAAACTGAACAAACGAATTATCGTTCAGAAGATTCATTGTCCTTACGTAGCAATAGTATCACAGAAAGGCCGGATGGCTGAGCGGTCAAGGTGGCAGCTTAGTGCTCTGGGGGACCCGGGATCGAATCCGAACGGGTCGTTAAATCTCCAGTAATTTTTCGGGGGTTGATCCGTCCGGATATGTCGGGCCTCATTGTGCCTAGCCCACAATAGGCCACCACCCGGTTGTCCCATTGTGGGCTTGACCAAACCCATAATGGGCTTGCTTAAAGAGGTCTCTTAGTAACCACAGGGCGAAAGAAGTTAAGTCATTTTTATTGTAAGATATTTGGTTAGTGATTGTTATTACACCTCTGTTCAATTAGAATTTTCTGAATATAGCTAATATGCCCTGCCCTTTATATAAAATTTCTTGATAAACAACTACAGTTCGCATAAACTGGAAGCAAAACCACATAACGTAGTGCCCTCTCTAGTTCATAGAAGACATAAATACTGTAACTATTAGGTGACTAGCGTATGGACCGAATCGTAGTATTTTTTATGCATGAAATGAAAAATATAGTTCATTGTTTATTTCTTATTTTTCTTGAAAATAAAAGGACTTTTTAATGAATGTTTTATATTTCTGAACTTATTAAATCTATGGCGAAGAGAATCACCTATAAGAATTCTGGGAAATGAGAGAGAATTTAATAAATTCGGAACAAAAATGGTCAAAGTACTATGCGACATTACCGGTAAAACGAATTTAATATTAATTTTATCCCAATCACAAATAAAAAAAAAGTTTGCTTCGTATTACTTTACTTTTTTATTTATTTTTTATTCCTGATAATGGTCGTTCTACAGGANTTTAATAAATAAATTAAAATTTAATAAATTTTTATTTAATAAACGTAAGTAATACGTTTATTTATTTGTCAATAAATAAACGTATTACTTACGTTTATTTATTGACAAATAAATAAATATGTAGGCGACACTAGTCAAGCAAGCCAATGACATTGTTTGTTTCATATGTAAACGATCACGTCATTGGCTCACTGACTTAAGGCTTCATGCTTATTTTTTTATGCTGTTTCATCATTTCTAAAAATAATTTGTGATTCGTTACTTTAAGTCACGTGACCGAACGTAGTTGTTACGTCAAACACCCGCTTAATTTAGACGGAGCTGCATTTAGAAAGCATTTAAGCTGTAGTTGTTGGTAAGTAAGTATTATATTTATTTTAAGTTTCGATTAGTTTTACGTTTATATAAAGCTAATGTAGATGTTATGTTTAAAAAACAATAGTAAAACATTAGAATATCGAGATTTTAGGGATGAACACGTGCCAGAAATAAAAAAAAGGTATAACAAATAAGTAACTAGTCTACATCATGGGCCAAAGCCATGTTAGGGAAGTCGCATTCTCGACTTATTGTTCGTCGAGTATTCATTTACCTTTATTTTTTCTATATTAATCTCAGTAATGATCTAATTCAGATTTAGCCGTTTGATTTCATTGTTTGTTCGTTATTACCGTACATAACTTATAGGGCAAATTCCAGCCTTGTGTTGTTGGAGTATATTTTCATTACAGAAATTGCTTTTAGCCCGAAGTATAATTAAATTAATTAAAATATCTATAACCATAAGGTTGATAATAGGAAGGGCTTAACACACCAATGATAATGAGCACAAACGCTCAAGAATCAAAGTAAAAATTTTAATAAAACAAAAAGGGGTGTACAATAAGATGATTACATAAGTATAAAAACCGTAAATTGGTGTGATAAGCCCTTCCTATTATCTACCTTATGGTTATAGATATTTTAATTAATTTGAGTATATTTTGTTTTAGTTTTTACAAGATGGCGTACAGTGACAGTGAATCCATTTTAAATTCTCTTTGTTAATTAACAAGTAGCTATACAAAGAAGACACAAGTTTCATAAATTTATGTTGAATTTATAAAACATCATTATTATCCTTTCTCTAATTCATGTGAAGGCTTTCAAGCCATTGCTTTATTCTCCAATTTCCTGTGTTGTCCAGTTAGTTTCCTGCTCATTTCTAGTGCATGAATGTCTGCGTTCAGCAGACTCAACAGTTGTAACTGAACAAATTTGTAGCTGTTACGTAGCAATCTGGATCTGCTGAACGATGAGTGATGTTGTGTTGGAACAAAAAGCTTCATTGGTCAGTTTCAGGTAGCGATAGCTAGTGTAAATGAAAGATGCTTTCGTATGTGACATCAAAAAACCAAACGTGCTCTGAAAGAGTGCTACTGTAAAGGGTGTTTGGCAGAAAAATACTCAAAAGCTCTGGAACTGTTGAGTCTGATGAATGTAGCCAATGTGTGTAAGGAAATTTGTGGGGCAGCCATTCCATGTCTTTATAAGATGTTTACTGTTATAAGCAAAAAGGTGGATAATACATATGTTCTGAAAACTTTTTCAGTTCAAATTTAATATTATTTATGCATTTTTGAACTTTTAAATTAATTTAGTTCAATTATTAAAGAAGTAATAAATTGTAAACAACAACATGTGACACCGGGTGTAGTAAACAATATACCCTATGTACTGATGACTGGTGTGCTACAAAAACCTTAGAGGTGAACTTTTTTTTTTTTTTGTTGGCCACACATTGGTTCATAGGGTATGTTGTTTAAGTCAGGGATGCACAACCTTTTTTGAAGAAGGGTCAAATTAGGATTAAGTTTACTGACTGGGGACGAGACCTCCAAGTGATTAATGCGATGGCTGAGATTGGATGCTGGCGGCAATCTTCTTGATGTCTTGGAATTTGGAAAACCTGCTGTTGTTTCAACATCTGCCATTACGGCAGATGTTGAAACAACAGCAGGTTTTCCAAATTCTTGTTGGTTAACCTGTTCCGTGTTTTGCACTTGTTTAAGTGCAAAACACGGAACAGGTTAACCAACTATGTATGCGCATAAGCGAAAACGCTTGTTCGCATACATAGGTACTGCCAAACATGCTTGCACAAAATTGAGCATTGTCTTTCAGTTTTGGAAATGATGTATCTGGCAGTTCTTTGTAGAATGTGAGAAGATTAGAATTTTTAAACTGTGATTTCAATTCATCACTGCACTGGATGTCTATCAACTCAAGTTGGACATCTGGAGGGGCATCTTCCACTTTCACATCAAATGGAGTTGAAAAAAGTTGCAGGTAGATCTTGTATTTCTGGAATTCACCAAACCTCTCATTGAATGATGTAAGGAGGNTACTGTCCGCGGGCCGCATAAACATTGATAGGGGGCCGTATGTGGCCCGCGGGCTGCAGGTTGTGCACCCCTGCTAACGTAAACCTTTTAAAATAATAATCGTGGCTATTGCATTGTTAAAAATTATTTCTTTATTTTGTACAAAAAATAAATATATTGAAAAATATAAAAACAATAAAAAATTATACTTCAGAAGTTAATTTAGTATCAAAAACGTAAAATATTTGAGTAGCCCAAGAAATAGCCAAAGATTGCGGCGCCACAGCACTAGCGAAAATTTAAATTTGCCGACTGGAATTCTTTCGGATAAACGACGCTCTACTGTAATAATCGTTGCTATTGTATCGTTAAAAATTAGAAAATTAAGCCTCGTTTAAATACTGGCTTCCTTTCATGGTCGAGACAGTGTTGCCAGCTAAAACACGCAAAATTTAACAAAAATATTAAAGTAGCCAAGACATAGCCAAATATTGTAGCGCCACATCACTAGTGGACGTTTGAATTTGCCGACTAGAATGCGGTCGGTTAACCGATGTGACAGTTGATTGGGGGTTGGATAATCGATGCTCTACTGTAATGTTAATTCTAGCTCTGCTTCCTTTTGCACTTTCTTCTAGCTGTTCATTGATGTCTTGTAATCTTTCCAAATCAACCGATTCTTGTAATTCCCTCAATTTTTCTTCAAGTGTTAAATTCCATTCAGCAATCAATTCAACATTTTTGTTGCTTCTAAAACTGCATCTATCATTTCTTTAATTTCATTTAATTCTTTTTCATAGCATTCAACTTGAATGCTTAATTTTCTTTTGCTTGTTCAACTTATCTAAGTTCTGTAATTTCTGATTTTTGATGATCCATTTGTTTTTGCATTCTTTGCTCATCTTTTACATGAAGAATCGCTAAACTTTTCACATTAAGAATCCTTAATGATCTACAAATTCACAAAGATATCTTTCTGGAAAGATCTTGTTTCATTAAGGCTTCTTTCATATCAAAACTAATATTAAATATGTTTTCCTGATCTACATTTATGATCAATCAAATCTAATTCATCTTCCTAGCGGATATTCCTTTTCTATTTGTAACAATTTCTGCATGTGAAAATAATTTATTTACAATGATCATATTTTCTTTTAAAAGATGGTCTTGAACTGCATTAATACTAGATGTATATTTACAATCATTAATTTGTATTAAAAAGTATTAAACCTTGTAAGAAAGTAATTAACTTTCTTCATTCTGTTATTACCAAGGCCAATCAGTTAAATGAGAGATAAAAAGCCTGGAAGATCCAATCATTTTGTAAACATCCTCTCAAACAATGATATTTCACTTCCTGTATCAGTGGCTTTGACTTCATTAATGGATATAATGTTTAGATTGACTTTATCTTGCTTGTTATCAAGAGGATATTAAATTTCACAATGACTGAACTCATTACATATGAAACATTTAGGTCCCTTTGCTTTATTCTTAAAATCTGATGACATATGAAGACTTCTGTGATTATGACATTGACTGTGTTCAGCAGAATTAACAGTTGTAACTGAGCAAAGGTGTTTCAATTGGTAGTTGTTACATTGTTACATCTGCTGAAAGATGAATGACATATGCATTGGAATAAAAAGCAGCCCTTGTTGGTCAATTTCAGGTTGCGATAGGTAGCCTAAGTTAAAGACGCTACCAAATGGGACGTCAAGACACCAAACATGTTCTGAAACAACATTACTGTAGAGGGTGTTCAGCAGAAAAATACTTAATTGCTCCGGAACTGTTGAGTCTGCTGAATGCAGTTATTGGGACTTAAATGCTAATGGTTTAGCCTCAAACTTGTGGAGGAATGATCTTAAACCTGCCTGTTGCTCCTAAAGTTTAAGCTATTTTATTTATTGCACTAAACTTTGTGCATATGATTTAATGCATGTAACTTGGATACTCTGTCCCATGCAACAAAATTTTATTTTGCCTATTGTCCTTAATTCATTAGTGATCTATCCTCATTGATATAGATTGTTGTTTTATCTTCGTTTGCCTAGTAAAAGCTAATGCTTTCATAACTAAGAAGAAATTTTGTATATTTTTTGTATTTTAATTTTTGCTCATTCAATTTTTCATCCAAAACTGCTGTTTGTATGCATGGAACTCTTGAATAATCACTTTTGTTTAATACTATAATTTGTTTTAACTCCATTGCTCTGTATAGACAATTTGGTACTGTTAATGAATGTTTCACATATATCCCAATCAAATAAGGAAGCTGTATCATCAAAAGTATGTGTCCACTGTATAATTGCAAAGTCGTCATTGCCATTCAAAGATTAAATAGATTTTTCTACATTGTGAAATTCATGAACTGAAGACCCGAATTGATGTACCATAATACTAAAGTCAATATTGCATGATTCATTTTCAAGATGGTTCTCTATTTCATCACCTAAAGCTATTCCAAACTTATCCACATTGAGTGAAAGTAACAAAAAAATCTATGAAGCACATGCATATTCTATGCAATCATTCTTTTGATTCATCATAATCAAGCAAAGAATGTTGCATATGGCTATTACATTTTACTTTATATTACTTTATTTAGAAAGTTGGTGAAGACCCAGGTGCCACCTGTAGGCATAACCTAGGGTTGAAATGAGATGAGGAGGAAGGGGAAGAAGGATTGGTGGGTTGGATAGTGTATAGTAAAGAGGGTGAAAATAGAGTTATTTTACAGTGTTTTGATTGAGAAAGTTTATAAAACATAAACAATATTCATATTACATTAATATATAATATACACGCATTTAACTACAGATTACAAACTAAGTTAACATGAAATGACTTGAGAAGGTTACACTTAAGTAGTGTAGTTGATAACAATCAGTTTATCAGAGATAAGTTACCTACAGATATGTACAATAAACAATAAATTAGTCCATATGTAGATAAGAAAAAATAATTAATTTTATTATTATTATTGTGCAGTGTTGACACCTCTTGATTGGGTGTGCTATTCATCTGTCCACTAAGGCTAGTTGGATCCAAAGCTTTTGTTCTCTTTAAGAAAGTTGTTGAAGATTTTGATATCTTGTAAGAGGAAGTTTGGGTTGCTTGGTCAGTTATGTCCTTTGTAAGGTATTGTCCCCATAATACTTATGGGGACAATACCTTACAAAGGACATAACTGACATAGATCACATTCACTTGTAAATTTGGGGCAAGTGAAGATTAGATGGAAGCTGTCTTGGACAGTTGTGCTATCACAAGGACAGCTTGTCGAGTCCCTCGGTGAAACGTTCTATGTAGGCGTTGTTGAGGTTGCAGTGTCCAGTTGTGTCAGATGATAGATTGGTCTCATGTGATTCCATTTAAGTCTATCTCTGATGTTTGGGGTGAAATTGTTTGTTGAGTGGTCTGCGAAGCAAGTGTCCTGTTTCTGTTGCCATTGATCAATAGTTAGATCTATGTTCCATTTTTTTATGGTGGCAATTGAAATTTTGGTGAAGGACAATGGAAGAGAGGAAGTGACTGCAGCCTTGGCCAGACAGTCTGACTCCTCATTGTCCACAATCCCAGCATGTCCACGTACCCATTTGAACTGAATGATACGGCCATGGGTATTCTCCTTGATGTAGTCTTGGATATTGCAGACATCCATTTCTGTGTTGTTAGTTCAGGCTGAATACATGGTGTGTTCAAAAAGTATCGGACCTTTGGTTGGCAAAAATAAATTTATTGATTTTGAGGTACAAAAACCCTAATCCCCTTCAAAGTAGTCTCCTTGGTAATGTATACACTTCTCCCAGCGTTCCTGCCATTGCTGGAAACACTGCTGGAACGCATCTTTTGGAATGGCCATCAGCCGGTCTGTCGGATTCCGCACGATGTCTTCTCTCGACTAAATTCGGGTTCTTTTTAGCGGCATTTTCAGCTTGGGAAATAGCCAAAGGTCACACAGAGCCATGTGGGGAGAGTACGGAGTGTGACGAACCACAGGAGTGTTGTGTTTGGCGACGAAAGCCCGAATCAGATGCGCAGAATGGGCGGATGCGTTATCACGATGAAGCTGCCACGTTTTGATCGACCACAGATCCGGTCGTTTGCATCGCACTGTATCGGAAAGACGATGAAGGACTTCCTAGTAGTACTCCTTTGCGATGGTTTGACCTTGTGGTGCGTACTCACGACACACCACCCCACGAGAGTCGAAAAAACTGTCAACATGACCTTTGATATTGCTGCGGACCTGCCGCTCTTTTTTTGGCCTCGAGGATCGTCCCCGAAAGCCTGCTGAATCTTGCGAATGGTTTATGCTTGGGTATCGCCAAGGTTTTTGGCAAAATTTGATGTAATATTGCTGCTCACGTTGTTCAGTCATTTTCCAGCTTAGTGGAATCCAACGAGAGTGCACTACATGACCTCACTCATAGGCCGATTGCCAACGACTGACGCTTCCTGCAGNGCAAAATTTGATGTAATATTGCTGCTCACGTTGTTCAGTCATTTTCCAGCTTAGTGGAATCCAACGAGAGTGCACTACATGACCTCACTCATAGGCCGATTGCCAACGACTGACGCTTCCTGCAGGCGGGAAAAAATTCAGGGCTGTGCATGACTGTCCCCTCCACAACTCCACCGAAGGAGGCCTCTCGCACGGTTTACGCGGGGAAAAAAAAGGTTTGATACTTTTTGAACAGACCTCGTAGAGCTGTTCAAGAATCTGACAAAAGATACAGATTCGTTATCATAGATTTATGTTGTTGCATAAACTTCAGCTTGAAGTACAGTGCAGAAAAATCCCAATTTAAAAGCTGATTTGTGTGGTTTTCACCTATTGTTTCCTTATGATGTCATATTTGTCGATGTGAGAATTTTGCTCTTCAGTGATAGTAAAGGTAGCTGTGTGGGGGTTTGTTGTAGGGAATGTTGATGCTGGTCCTGATATATCAGTGATCACTTGTGCTTGGAGTGGTGTTTGTGCTGCAGGTGCTGATAAGGGCTTCCATACTGGGATTAGCAAGCACATCATCAATCTCTTTGTGTTCAGTGAAGTAGGTGGGAAGGGACTGTTGTCATTGTCAGTGCTGGTATTGCAGAAGGTTAGGCCTTGGTTTGCAATGAAGTCTTCAAGGAGATGAACTCTGGTGTCATTCTGTGGGCTATGCCAGAGATTACTCTTGGCATTGGCATCCCCCTATCAACCAGGGATCCTGACTGATGATGGCCCCAGTTTGTCTAAGAGAGTGTCTATTGTTTCATAGAGAGAACAATAAATAGGTTAAAAATAGCATTTTTCCCATTGATGTGCAGAGTGACAGTAGTAGTGTGATCCAGGAAAAGATTTGGCATGAACTGAACAGAGATATTTTGGTTCCTGATGAAAATACCTGTTTTAGAAATTGGGTTATTGTCTCTTGGAGGAAAAGTGGACCATCTACCACAGAAAATGAAGCTACCATTAACAATGTAGGGCTCTTGGATCAAAATTATGCATGTGTTCCACTGTTTAGCTGTTTTAAGGAGAGAGGTTGGGGTTTTATCCTGTTGAAGATTGACCTGAAGAATATGATACTCAATACTGTTGTTAGGCATATTGGAGGAGTTGTAATAGTTATAATGCATAGTTTTTCTTGATTGTCTGTTCTTCAGTTTCAATGTTGTTGGGCACAAATGACTGTAGGCATTGTGGTGTGTGTATACCTTTTTATTGTCTTTCACCTCCTTGTTAGCCTTTTGGCAGTTTATGCAGCAGGGTGTCTCTGCATTTCAAATAGCTTTCAAATTTGTGGTTTTTGGAGCAATGGCTACAACTTTGTTGTTCATCAGAATATTTCACCAAGTGATCATAACCACAGCATCAATATCAATGCAAGAGAGAGACATAGTTGTCTACTTTTATGTTTGCCCATGACAACACCATGTACTTATTTTGGAGGAGGATGTTCCGGAATGGTGGGGTGACAGACAGGATCATGTGTCTGCAGTTCATTTGAATTTTACCCTTTTGTTAGGGACAGTGGTGATATTCAGCGGGTTCGCACAGGTTCGGCCGAACCCGTTGTTAACATTTTCAAAGTTTTCTGAACCTTGTTAAACATATGTAACATTTCTCAATGGTTTGATTCTTTTAAAAATATTAAAATATACGTATTATACTCTGTAACACTACTAAACTAGAGCCTTCCGATGCACTATTTGAGCGAAAAAAAAAATTGTTAAGGAAAAATTTTCTGTTAGCGAACCCTTTGTTAAATATTTCGAATGTCATCACTGGTTAGGGATGTACTGACTGTGCAGGCTGCTGAAAAATGCTCAATATCATAATCACCCCCACATGTTTGTATTCTGTTTGAATATTATGATGGCTTGGATGGAAATCAATTTTGTGGGTCCAAATGTTAGCAATCAAATGAGATGATAAAGATCCCAGTTTTCAAAAAGGAATAAAATAAGATTTAAAGGTCTCGTTTGAACAAAGAAAGTTTTTTATATAAAATGGAAAACAAAAGATGAATTATGTAGAAAAGACCAAGTTGAAGGAAATGTAGTTAGAGAGAAATTGTGTTTAGTTGCGCTGTTGACCTCTCCTACACCTCTGAACGGTTTCAAATTGTCACCAGGTGACGAGGGGAGGCCAATCAAAAAGCAGAATAAGGGGTAAAACATATAAAAACGTGTGACTCAAGAATGTGACGTTCTTGGATCTTTGTTTATCACTCCTATCCCCTTGATGTTTCTGGAACATTGTTGGATTTTCATCTCTCCTCGATGTGTTCCTGCTTCAGGAATTACCCCTACTACCAGGACCATCCTTTTGAAGACAGACATTGTGCCCTGGGGCTGGCGCTCTCGAAAACATCGATGAGGGACCAAGAGAAAACAGCCTAATGAACTTTCGGACTTAATTTGGTTTCTCCGTGCAAGAATTAGCACTTTTGTAAGAAAACCTTTAATTTATTAAATGGTAAAAACATGGATCACCTGTCTCAGAGTTTTTTCTGCTTCTACACAATAGTTGTGACTGTGCGACTTCTGACAAACACACCCAGTTGGCCAACCCCATAATATGACTGCTGTTACCTCTTTGTCTTGGACAGTGTTGGGGACTTTCAGTAAAATCATGTGAGGTCATCTTTCCCCTGATAATTTACATTTAATTTTGTAGTTAACATTTGGTAGTGTGTGTGTTGTGTTACATAAGGTTTACTGTCCTTCGCATTGCGTACAAGAAGGCAGAATCCTTCTCCTCAAATGTGTGTAATTGATATGACATTTACTTTGAGCTTATTGGGATGGACATTTGCTGTATATTTGATTTCTTCCATGTCAACCTTTTCTTTCGAATCCTGTTTCAGGTAAACAATCAAAGCATGGTTATCCCCTGGTCCTTCAGTGTTGATTTTCTTATTTAGTGTTTTTACAATGACTCTAGTTATATTGCTGTCTTTACCATTTGTACGGGTCACCTCAGCAAATGGGTAGGAAAGGTTTTCTTTTGGAGATATCTCCTGCTGTTGTCATAGTTACTGTAAGATTCCATAGAACTAGTTTAAAACTGCAAATAGCAGGGTGGCTGGTTTCCTAATTTTGAGCCTTTCGTCCTTGTGGACAGTGATGCTCAAAAATTCTGAGCACAGGTCCAAGATCCTGCCCAATTGAAGTCCTGTCTGTTTAATAATATGT